TTACTCTCATTACTCTCATTACTCTCATTACTCTCATTACTCTCATTACTCTCACTACTCTCATAACTCATTACTCATTACTCTCGTTAGAAATATTATTTCATACTGATTTGCGCCCTTTCTGTTCGTATATAGTCCGTTTTGAGCTCCATTTTGGAGTAATTTTCATCGCAATCCTTGGAACCGCTGAAGCATCACAACCCTCGCAGAGTCAACGGAGCGGAGTTGCATCTCTTCACGGATTCTTCTCTAGCGAAGTGACTCACTCTTTCCCCTTTACGATGGTCGTAGGCTATCCAAAGAGAGGGAGAAGAGCTGGCGTGAAGACAAGAGCCGAAGAAGCTAGGAAATAGTTTACGTTCTATTTTCTGATTACTTATAGAAATTACCATCTGAAAAAAGGGAGGGAACCCGGCAAATTCTTAAGGATGAGAGTGCGCATATTAACGCATGAGTAGAACATCGATAACATTTACAGCAAAACACAATCAGACTACATTACGCATGAAGAGATTATTATTAGTAGACAGCTACTTGCAGGTCACGTGATGATTCCTGGCCAGTTATCCCCAAATCATACATACATACATACATACATACATACATACATACATACATATATATATATAATTGTTACTAGAACTCTCAGGCCAACAAAGGTGCGCAGTCCAAACCTCACAGCAAATACGAACGTAGAGAGTAAAAAAATGCGAGGATGGACAACTTCTGACGTAAAATTTAATAAAAACGTTTCGGTCAGAGACCTTCTTCAGTTATTTACCTAAATATGTAACTGACTGGTAAATAACTGAAGAAGGTCTCTGACCGAAAAGATTTTATTTAATTTTTTATCTTTTTTACGTCAGAAGTTGTCCATCCTCGCATTTTTTTACTCTCTTCATATAAGAATGTGGGGGTAGAGTCTACCTTGGCATAAAGTGCCTAATGCTGTGGTAGCATAGCTAAGTATACATAAGTTAAAGAATTAAAGAGGACGCATCGATTCTCTGTAACTCTGAGTTTCGCGCCTAAGCGCCCTGTCTGACGAGCACTTAGTCGCGAGTCACAGATAATCGATGCATCGTCTTTAATTCTTGAACTTATGTATATATATATATATATATAATTTTTATTTTTTGCGTGTACCTCCAGCTTTAAATTTGGGAAAAGATAAGGTGTAACATTTTCATCAACACAGGTTTGGGTTTCCTTGATTTTAAAAATAAGCAAATACAGGAGGCTATTATTATGCGCTCTTGTTAACCAAAGCAGCGGTTAAACATTGGGTATGCACAAGGGAATCAAATCGGGCCTCACACACTCCAATTTCCCACGCAGAATTTCAAACGAAAATATATAGAATATACAATCGCAAAATAAGCAAAACATAATTGAAATGTTCAAAGATATCTCTAAAAGGAAACAAAAATAGGCAAAAGGGAAACTCAAGACTTTTTGACACGAGGCAAGGCTTATTCAAGTACAGGTGTCCTGTTGACCATTCCGTTTTGAGCTTTACCAAAAGGTGTCATACTGAAAGCACGCCACCTTGTCATTACAACGTTTGCACACGCGCAGGCGTGTGTTCACTTGAGTGACCTCTCCCTAGTCAAGTTTTTACAGCTTGGTTAAGTCCGCTGGTCAATCGCTGCTCTCATACATGTCCCATCATTCAATTGTGTATGAACGTGAGTCAAGTGAAAGAGAGTACTATCTTACCTCCGTGGAATTTTCCATGTACTCCGCGGAAAGGTCAAAATTTTCTGCCTGTCTATGTATGGCAGAGATGATGTAATATGCTTTCGTCATTAGAAAAGGCCAATTTCCTGAGTTAGAACGATTGGCACGTGCAGCAACATCTCGGCAAATGGCTAAACAGTCATCCATTTTGTTCTGAGCGAACTGCATTATGGCTTCCTTCACCAAAAAATAAGGGTGGTAAAAATAAGATTAATTTAATCATCTTCATAGCGATACCCCGTAGCAAGAAATGATAGTTCAAGTAACGGTGACAACGGAAAAAAATATAACGCAACTGTAAAAAAACAGCATAGTTAAGAGAACCGACTGAGCTAAGCCAGGAGACCATCACATGGAGCCTTCAACTGCTCTGTGTTGTCACCGCGTTTTCACAGACACATTTATTTTTTGTTTGAATTTACTGCGAACTTGGTATCGGAAATGGCCTCCTGGCTAAACCTGAAAACCAGTCAGCCGAGTTCCTCGTTTTAAATCCTTGGGAAAAATATCTATAGTAGAGACATTGACTTAATTAAATATTCCTCCATTTTGGAGTTTTGCCAGTTTTGTGGGGAAGTGGTTGTTGCTATGGTAATTTGTAATCAATTCTGTGATAGGTGGATTTAGTATGATTGACTGCTTTAACTGTCCGATTACAGGTGTCCGATTACAGCAAACTCCCCGATTACTCTGTCCGATTGCAATTGCACAGAATAAGTACTAAAAAATAAAGCAGCTATTGCGCCAATCGCATTTGCAGAAATTTTGATGGTTTTGCTGAAGAGCTGAATAAGGCAATTTCCTTAATCACGATCCCTAGGGGGCATAGCCGAAGATATCATTCTCGCTTTTTAATGCACGCCAGGACATTGTAATGCCTCTAGAAGCCTTACCTCCAAACGAACAACTAAGTAGAGGTCTTGATACCTCACAATTCCATCGACACGGTCAGTAAGCTTCTGTTTATCTATCAGAAACTTATTGTATTGACCTGAAATTATAATCGACCAAAGGGAATTAAATTTAACGACAATTTGATATATGAGTAGTTAAATCTGTCTTCGCTGTTCCTTAAGAAAATATATTCTTCCTTCCATGTTTTCATTGCACTGGTATTTAGTAGCTGTAAAAGAAAAGTACAAACCATTATCACCAAGTTTTTGAAAGTGCATCACTACGGTTCTTCCACTCTGCTTTGACAAAACACCTATAATCAAAATTGAACGAAAAGCTGACGAAACTGCTCATTTTGGAAATGTGTTTATTTGGCGCAAGGTAGTGTTAATTAAAATTAAAAAAAAAAATCGAGAGCGCCTTATTACTTCAAAAATGTGTCAAACGAAAATATTCCTAAGACTTAAACTTCACGACTTAATTTTCAGCGAGATTGAGAGTCAACTCTTTTTGGTGTTTTTTAGACTTCATTTCAAATGACAGACGAAATAAAAGCGCGTAAAGACTCAAGACACGTGATTCGATACGGAACACGGTGAATCGCGTACAAAATTTTATTCTTAACAAGATATGAAACCGGGAGAGTTTTAGGAAACGGTGTTCACACGAATACCCGAATATTTTGCCTATTTCATATCTCAGTTTCAATAAGACCATAGTGAGCGCCTGTTGAAGACTCCATTTAAGCATTTCTGTCGCTACACTGATGATTGAAAGAAAAATTTCCAGTTGAGATTTCAAAGTTGTCAACTACATCCGGCCAAGTCCTAACGGGGTCGGATATAGAACTCTTCAAAATAACGGTGTACTTGAGCTAGAATTACGTTTAAACAACTGAACTGTCTTAGTCAAATAAAAAGAAGAAACAAACAAACAAAAAAAAAACATAAAGTTTGCAAATTTAATTGTGATAACTGAAATTTTACGTAATTTAGAGCTAAAGCCGAAGTAACTATAAACGTTTGTATTATATACCTGACATTTTAATTCTTGGTAAAGGCTTCTCCACTTCCTTTACAGTTCTTCCACTTTGATAATCCCACAGATTCGTGTTTCTTTCATGTGACTTGACAGTTAATTGCTTCATGTCCAACTCTATATCTGAATGAATATATATATATATATATATATATATATATATATATATATAGAGGAAGTCTGCAGGTCGATTTTCGCGTGGAACAGTGCTCAATACGTTGAAGCAGAGCAGAATAAATATTATGAGAGGAAAAAAGGACGTAACTACATTTCCCGACAAGCCTGTTTCGTGAATCGCTTCACTCTTCAGGGGTTTAATTTAAGCCTTTACCAAGAATTAATTAAACCCCTGAAGAGTGAAGCGATTCACGAAACAGGCTTGTCGGGAAATGTAGTTACGTCCTTTTTTCCTCTCATAATATTTATATATATATATATATATATATATATATAAAACACAGTGAACGAAAAATCCCTCACGAATAGTGCAAAGTTAATCACTATAACAAGTTCTGATAATGATTATTATCATCATAGGTAATCTTGAGTTCTGAGAGTTGAGACTGGTTCTTATCAAGAGAAAATAGACTTTTTATATTCCCTTGTTCTTTTTGGTCAGGATTTTGTCATACGGACCGTTTCCATCGAAACGGTCATAAACCCCGATTTTTCTTCTCGAAAGCCGGCAAATTAAAAAAAAACAAAACAAAAAACAAGTTTAGTCTACTTACCATATAATAAACTACTGCCACAATCATGGGCCAATATTCCTCGGTGCGGCCCTTGTGCTCGCTTAGTATAAAGTTATTAATTAAATCACCATTAATTTAAGTGTCGTCATCATCAGTTAAAAATGTCAAGGTCCTAATTATTAATGGCGTATTGTGTTAAATTCACCTTCATACTCTGTTGCCTTCTGGTTAAGTGTGATCCTAATCGTGTAAGTGATGGGTGTTTCATTTTTGACCGGTAACACAAACACTAAGTTGCCGGCGTATGAGGGAAGCTGTTTATTTCTGCAATCAGTGTTGGTTGCGAGCATCCAAGCGTAGGGCACCACTTCCGGCACAATTTTGAAGCCTCTATCTCGCTGAATATGGATCACACACACACGAAAACACGGTAGTTAACATAAACAACGAAAATAAAAAATTCCTTCAAAATTAAGAGAAGCAGAAACAGCACAAATATCATTGAAATTTTAATCCCTTTGAACTTTTATCAAAACAAGCCAACAAAAGACCTCATCAACTTTTTAATTCAGCTCCAGTTTGAATTTACTTTTCTTAAATTAAACAGTAAAAAAATGAATAATTTTATGATATGTTTTCTCCTTTAAATTCATGTAGGGTCTTTAAAGATGCTCTGTTTTCTTGATACAGATACGCAGTTTCTTGTGTTGTTTTCTCTTGCCTTGGTTCGCTAGCCTTTTACCAAAAAAAGGTCAATAACTTCATTATATACTTTTTCTTAGCTACTTACAGTGAGATACAGATCCTTAAAATCTGGCGAAGCATGGCAGTCCCAGATTTCCTCAGTATCTATGTCTATCACTGCAACAACAAACTGCACAACCAGAGCAAGAAAGGGGACCTGGATTACACAGGGATGCAGTTGGATTCTCCTTGACTGACCAAAATATATTTCGTCCGATAGCTGTCGGCATTTCTGAATAATTACTAATCGAGCTCTATTTGGCCGGAAAGTACTTGTGGTTGGCTGTGTTGCTTTATGGGACAGACAGTAAATGTACACAGTGTTAACTGATTGCAATTAACAGCAGTTGAGAAAAGATCAGTCTTTAATCGCTGGAAGTTGAGTATCATTCCATCAGTATAGTGGTATTTGGATATTTCTGAGAAAAAGTGGTATAGTAAGCCGGAGTCGTCAGTATAAAACATGCCGTCGGACCTCAGACATATATTCACGGACTTCAGACTGCGAAAAAATACGGACTACACGTTACAGACCTTCTGTAGACTTACATGGATTACGTCTCACGAAACAGGGTAAAAAGTGTTGACTACAAATAACTAGCTATTGTTGCTCTCGTTCACTTTTTTTTACGACCCTTATTGCAAAGCCAGATTCCCTCAAAGGGCTTGAAAATATCACTCTCCAGGCCGTAAGAAGCGCAGGAATTTGTATTGAATGTACTGAATGTGATCATTCCTACGACGCTACCGAGCAATAGCGGCTATGTTCAGCTGAAAAGAAAGTCTAAAAACAATAAAAAGGAAAAAAAAGTTTATACTTATCAATGTTCTTCACACGATCCGTAACATGCTGTCCTTCCTAAATCTCAATTCCAGATTTTACTGATACCCAGTCCTTTGTTCGTCGTCCTCAGCTCGTTAAATGTATCCTATCTCGCTTTTCTTAAATTTGCCGGATTCAAAAGACAATCAGTAATTTTCTTGCCCTCGAGAGGTGGATATGAGATAAAAAAAATCGGCCTCACGTTTCCTAGCTGACAAGAAGAACCGGTGACTTTTAAGCAAGAAAATCTCTCTTGAATTATATGTAAACAACCAATATAAACAATTAGCACAGACTGAAATGATCCGCAAAAAACAATTCCGGTTTGCGATATCTCTGTTTAAGTCCGTCTGATATTGCGAAAATTACCAAAAATCCTACTGAGAAGTTCTACAAAAAGAGCTTAGCAAAGAACTCTTATAGCTGAACGGCGTACCCGTGTGACTACGAACGAATTGATGTTAATATCTGTCTTCCTAATATCATCAAAGAACGGACGATTGCTTATGCCGCCGGACGGATAAATTTAAATAAGATTATTCAAAAGCCATGATTGCCTTCTTGATTCATACATGATTCGACTTACATCAGAATATGGAAATTTTCGGCCGTCATCTTTCATTTTCATGTCCACATGTGTTCAAAATAGCAATAATATTAGAATGGAACATTTTCATATATATTTTACCTTCGAAGCAGCTGTCAGATGTAGTTAAAAAAAAGAAAACTTACCATCGATCGATTCTCGAACACCAATATCACAACAGTTCGCGGCATTCATGACAATTTTTGAAGGCCTCTGGTCTTTTCAACTCGAAAATCTAATCTTTCAGGAAATGCTGTGACAAGCATATGTTCGTCGAAGTCAATACAAGGAAGGTGTCGACCGTGAAAAAACTTCGCGATGCAAATCGAAAAAAGGGACTTCCCCCTAACCTACCTCAAACTCATTACGTATTAATTCATGTAATTTTTTAACGATACATGAGCTGTTTTTTACCGTATACCGAAGCTCTGAACTCCTTTCATTTTCCTGAAACGCAAGTAAGATGATTAGTTGGTGAACATAGGAGCAATAGCGCTCAGAAAGTAAACATCGCTGCGTGATAAATAACTTTTGTTGCAAATTACCCACGTTGTAATCAAACTGTTATAGAAACACAGAAACTGAAAGTGCTGTCTACGGCAAAATCCCGATTTAAGGTATCCGTATATGAGTATGGAAAATTTTAAACTTGCTCATTCTCAGAATACATAGTTGTTATATGCCAGCCGGGAAGTCCTTAATGGGAATAATCGAGCTCGGGGTCTTGTCTCAGTACTTAAGACAGAGGGCACAGTTTTTCCTACTACGGACCGACCTTGGCTAGTGAATGACATTTTCATTTTTTTCCCTACAACTTAGAAAAATTTTTTCCAAAAGAACCCAAATGATTTTGGCCTGTAATTTACGCAAGGTCTTCCATAAACTAAACAACTTTTTAATAAGTAAATGGTAGTTAAAATAGATGTAATGCAAATTAAAGAGGGAGGCATCACCGAAACATTTTCATTTGCGTAAATTTTAAGAGGCTTCCATTATTTTTACAAGTATCTGTCACCATCTGACAACCGTCAATTAGAGACCGCATAAGAAAAAAAAAACGCATGTATACTTTAGAAAAAAACAACGGAACTAGTTTAACAAGAACTGTCACGACGATGTTTTCTTTTAAAACAGTCAATGATCTTACGGAATTAAGATAATCGTCCCACAGCTGGAGCTTGAGCCGCCTGTGGGTGAGCGAAGCTTTCAGTTCTGCTAGAAATGTGCTTTCGGTGAGTCTTTCCAAGTCCATTCAATTTGGACAAATTGCTCAACAGAAACTGAAGGTATAGTATATTGCGTTACATAGCGTTACCGCTGTAAGGAAACTTCCTTTTAACTAATCGTGTTATAAATCTACTTTCCAAAGTAAAAGGAAAATAACTAATTATGAATATTGTATAGTAGATATTCTATCTTGATTACTGAATCAAGGACAGTCGAATCAGAGGAATAAGAGGAGTCACTTGACCGATGAATAATCTACAGAAGGAATTCAATAAGAAAAAGCCACATTAAATGCCTCATTCGAATTTAGTTTTTTTGGAGAAAAGACCAGGTATACACACGCCACTGCAGCAGACAAACGAGAAAGCTCTCACAACTTCAAAATGAAAAATTTGAATTTAGTTACAACTACTTTCCTTGCCATTTACTTACTGAACAGAGGTAAATTTTCGTACATTAATTAACCGTCGATGAGATTAAATAATAGTAAGCGGTCGGATAACAATGCACTGTGAAAGTAAAAGTGAGGTCTTTTAATTAAGAATGTGATGGTATTTTTTTTATTCCCAAGAGCGGTCGTAAATATTCCGATACAAACTCTTTAAATGAATGAGTTGCCAGTAATCGGATCCTTGCGTTTGCGCACAGATTTCTTGGATCGCCACGGGGCAAACATTGTAACTCGCTAGAAAGGAGAGTATTGCGAAAGGTTGTTTGGACGTCCAAAATAGCGATTTTGGCGAGAAATTATGGCTTTTTCGCCGCAGTTTTATTATAAATGGATAAAGATAGTGTTGATACGAGGGAAATGTAAGTTTTTGTTGCAATTACCACGAAATATGTTATTAAAATCACCGTAAAACTTCTCTCCTTACGTAAGGTCTATTTTGAAACTTTCATCGCGTAATGGTCTCGAAATATTCCAAAATTAACCATAAATCGCTAGGAAATAACTAATTCAGGTCTTTTTAGTTTTATTTACATATGTAAAGCCTGTCTTCATACTTGTTCAGTTGACGTATTTAATAGACAAATTACGACGTTTGAAAATATACCTCCTCAAAGGAGAGAAGTCGTTGTCAGCGGATATGGAAACAATTTTTTACAGAGCTGTTGCTCTCAGTAAGGATGAAATAAGCGATGATGAAAAACATGCGGAAATCCCTAAGTCAAGTGATAGTATGTTTGAGAAAAATCCAAAGGTCTCTGAGCTGCAACTTTTCTTCTCGAACTCCATGAAGGATCGCATCAAGAAAAGCAAGATCACACCGGGGAACTCCGGCAGAAAATCATATCATCAGTTGTGCATCGCTCCTTAAGAGACCAATTTGTATCACTCATCGTCACAGTGAGAAATATTTCAGTATTGAGCCGATTATCAACACTCGTGATTCGTTCTCATTGATTACATCAAAGAAGCAGCGTAGGTGTTTTGTCACTTTAACCCTTTAACTCCTATAAGTGACCAAGACATAATTTCTCCTTTAAATAGCAATACAATATCAACCAGATAAGTGATGAGAATAAAGAAAAATATCAATTTGGGGATAATTAGTCGATCCAATACTAAATTCTCTGACCTAACATTATAGGAATTGTATGGTTGACAATAAGAAGAAAGAGAAATTTGATCTGGGAGTTAAAGGGTTAATGTACCACAATAAGACTTATTGCTCAAGCACGTCATTTCAATCTCCTGCTACCTTAAGGTAACTTTCGTAGCGCTCTTTTGCAGTACCAAGCCACGAAAAAAGCTAGAAGTACAAAACACGTACAAAAAACTGAAAAGGCTTTGTTGAGTAATTCCCTAGAGATTTATAGTTAGTTTTCTAAATTTCGAGACCATTACGCGATATCAAATTCAAATTAAACCTTGCGTCGGCATGGAGTGCTCATCGGTAGATTTTACTACATATTTCATTGTTTTTCAAACAAAAACTTGCGCTTCCCTTGTATAAGCATTACCCAAATCCATTTCCGATAAAAGAGCGGCGAAAATGCGATAATCTCTTTCTAAAATCGTTTTTTTGGAAGTCGGAACAACCTTTCGATATACATTTCCTTCTAGTGAGTTAAAATGTTTGCCTCGTGGTGATCCTAGAAATCTGTGCGCAAACACAAGGATCCGATTATTGGCAACTCATTCTCTTATCACCTCACAGCTGGAGCTTGGGCGGCCTGTGGCTTGCCCTTTCACTACAAACCAATTGTTTGAGAGAATTCAGATATTAGACGAATGAAAGTTCCATCGATTATCTCAATTGTAACCAAATACCTCACGTTTTAACCGTCTAGGTACTTTTTGTGAAGGAAATAATTAATTACAGACGGTTTTTAGGCCGCTTATCAACCAATATAATGACACTACTGCTTATAAAAAATTAATTCATTTCGAAATCCACATTTTTCTTTCAACCAAAGTGATTTGAGCGGGTGAAAAGGGAGAATTAATTAGCTATTTATCGGCTTGAGGTAGTGACCGACGTCTTTGCTTAATTAAAAATACTGCCAAGCCGGAAAAACGAGAGTTATATTTGAAAAATGGCAGCGAAGGTAGGGATGAACTCGGCGACTCATGAAAGCGTTACCGTGCCCGTGGGTAGAAATAGGAAAATAAGCACCGCGCTAAAAACAAATCAGATTACAGGATTCGTTACCGTGCCCTCTAAGAAAAAAAAAGTGAAAGATAATACTACACACACATCTTTTCTAGCTTTCAGGTAATACCCGAGTTTGCTTTCTTTTATGGAGGATTTTGGATGGAAAATTGATTATTGGCGGTCCATTTATGATGAAGGGGTTTGTTCACGGATCGCAAAGTATGGGAGTAAAAAACCGAAAAGCCCAAAATTTACAACTTATGGCTGAAATAACTTCCTGAATTTTACTAGAGATGGGTGAATAGCTTGGAAGAGTACGGAATCTTGCAAATGAGTTTGAGGATATAGGGATCTACCAAAAGTCGAGCAATTTATACCAATCGAGCTTCAAAATAAATTTATACCACTCGAGCTTCAAAATAAATTTATACCACTCGAGCTTCAAAGAAATCCGGATCTGGATTTTGGCAAAGGAAACCTTGACTTGATAGAACGGCCGCTGTTCTCCCTCCCACGAGATTATTTTTCTTTGAGATGGGCTTTCTTCTGTAATCGCTGGTATATCAGGCCATGGCAGCTTACGTAGATTCACTTGAAAGCTTCTAATATCTTGTACACATATTTAAAATTAAAATGGATTAGAGTGGATCGGACAAAAATTGCTTAACTCTTGATAGAGGAAGCCAAAAATTCCCACCGTAGGGTTTTCCTAGTATTTTCTAATAGTCCTTCAAAAATATAAAGCTATTGTGCAGCTTAACTAAAGTGTTTGTATTTTATTGGAAAACAGCGACGCGTAAACCTTAATAAGTTCATGGTTAATATGAGCAACTCGTTCTGCATACAATATCAACTTCATCTGGCTTAACTGGGTAATCGTGCACCATCAGACATTAATAACATCAACGCACCCGAAGGGACAAAATGTTTACTCAACAAGCAATTAACCTTGTAACGTAAAAACCATTACAAGAATCGAAAGCGTAATGGGGCGACGAGGCTTTGGTATTACAAAGCATTGCCGACGCCAGCGATATCTAATGAAAGTAAGATACACGTCTCCATGAAATCAGATGCTCGGTGATGAATTTAAGAAATAATTATTTTAGAAACGAACCCGATAAGTTTTCATAAAATTTGAAAGCCCTCTTTCTTTTTGCTTTCGCTATAATAGTGGGAGATAAAATTCCTGATGAAAACTTTATGTCTTTTATCGATGCTTGTAGACTGCCTCCGGATTAAAGAAGCTTATTTTTCTGCGCTATTCATATGGTATCAGACGGTTTTGCTATTTAATAATCATCATCGTAGAGATAAAGACGTCCCTGTGGATATTTACTAAACATCATGCTCTTCAGACTAAAATGATATTGATAGAAAAAGCCAGCAAACATGGCAAAAAAAAAAAAAAACCAACAAACAAAACAAAACAAAACAAACAAACAAACAAACAAAATAAAAAAGCAAACCGAATACGGGAAAGAGAAATATGAACTTTGGTTGTAGAGAAATATTTGGAAGTACTCTCGGGGGTAATGGTGAAGAAGAAACAGTAAACAAAATAAAAATATTAAGAAAAGAATGGATAACGGAGTTCCCTTCGCATTTGAAGGCTAAGGTGCATGGTTTGCGGGTCTTATGAAAGAAAAATGTTCAGCAATTAACAGCTGAAAATTATAATCAATTTGGACAAATATATCAGCTGTTGTTTAATGAACATGGCTTGGCAAACATCACGCTTAATCTATTTTTCCTTCCCCCGTTTTAGCCCATTATCGGTTTGACACCTGATCGCGAGCGTATAAACGGAGGCGTGAGATTGAGCCCTATTGTTTGACTACTTGAAACCGCTAAGCAGTTACACTTTAATGTATGAAATACGTATTCAATACATTCGTTCTACAATGAAAAATAAAATAACTGAAAAATAGAAAGAGGATAGACAGTTTGAGTGGAGAACTTATGATTTAATTCTAAGGCTCGAAGTAAAATAAGACGTGAGACAAGGTGGAGGTGGTAAAAAATAGGATGGTGAGAAATACGGTAAAGAGTGTCGCCTCAATTGTCAGACTGAATCGAAGCTGTCAAATGCTGATATTTACTAAAAATAAACGAGAAGACGAAAATTTAAGGGCTAAAAGCAAATAAATTATATTCCGTGAACCTCATGGAATATATGAGGCAAATTAACTTTGGGTTTTCGTGAGAGCACGATAGGATGGTCAATGAAAAAGAAGCAAAAAACCACAGATGTCGAACGGTAGTTAATTTCATCGAAACATGATCGTGTATAAAAGAGACGTTCATTTTATTTAAAAAGGTTTGAGGTTTCAATCAAGATAATTCTCTTGATTTCAGTCCATAATGATATGCTTTTAAATATACCGTGCAAATAATTCATAGATCATCTTTCATCGCGGAAAATGCCTACACAAAAAATTTGACTAGGACAAGCGACCCATCGTGGCTCTGCCGCTCATATCTGCTGGACTTTATCGTTTGAATCTCACGAAATTTGCAAAAGGAAATCAGCTGACGGAGAGAACAGATGTATCGTGATCTGAGCATAATGTCCTTTAGCTTCTGGTGCTTAAGTGTGTCGCATTTAGTCCTTACGCGGTCCTTGGTGTTTTCCATGAAATCGAAAGACTATCAGTTTTCACATAACGTTGCAAACCATCTCTGTTGAACTTAAAGGTTCGAGGTGCCTACCCAATGATTCTACTGCTGCTTTTCTGATTTAGGATCTAAATATATAGTGAGCTCATGTATTTCTGCTGTACGAGATAATGTGTACGCTACTTGAATGGATCTGAAGAGAGCTGTCTCCATAGGAGCTCGTCATCGTTCGCATTCGATAGTGCTCTTGCATACTTGATAACCTTCGACTAAGACTGTCACAATGAAAACATTGCTTAAGGCCGTTGCGATAGTTCTTGCTAAAGATAAAACAAATGCAGGGATTAACTGCACTCCATGAATGCAGCAGAAAGACAGAAATAAATGGGATGATTGTTTGAAATGCACAAACGGGTGGCGGTTCCCAATTCCATACAAAAATATGAAAAAATAAATAGATAAGCAGTGGAGTCATGCAGGTAACAAAGGAAATCATGATGGCCATCGTCATTTGGACAATTTTCCTCAGCTGCTGATCTCGATGGTTTTGGCGACAAGACAATCGCTCTTTACTTTTCTTGTTCTTTTTTCGTATTGTCCATGCGATAATGCCATACACAATAACCAGGATAATAACGGGAATGAGGATAAAAGTTATAAACGATGCCGTAACATATCCGTTGTGTGTTTTCAGGTGGTCGAGTGCTGGTCCCCAATTTAAGGTACAATACGTTTTATTTTCGTAGAGGATCAGTTTGAAACTGTAAAAATAAGGTGCGTGGAAGACGATGGCGACACACCACGTGATTAGTATGCTGATCAATCGTACTTTTGAGGAGATAAGTTTGGCCTTCAGTGGAGAGACGACAGCGAAGAGCCTGTCTATCGAGATCAAAAGAAGGCTTCCGATGGAAACCAAAAGGGAAACATCTGGCAGAAAGTAGGCAAGTTTGCATAGAATGTTTCCTAGCAGCCACGGACGATCAACTTTCCAGGATTCCGAGCCTGAAATGATCTCAACGATCTTCACAGTCATGACGGTCAAAGGGTTGAAGAGGTCAGATACAGCCATGTTGAAAACGAAGTAGTTGATGGATCTTCGTAGCTGCTTGTTCTTGTAAATGACCACAAGAAGAAAGATATTTCCGAAAAACGAAACCATGAAAATAAAAATATAAGCCAGAGCTTTAGCTGAAACCTCTACAGCGGAGTCGGCTGTTATTTCACAAGCTTGGTCGGAATTACTCGAAGCTGCATGGATGGTTATCTGTGTACTGTTTTCGGATAAGAATGTCATGGTTGTGTTCACGATTATAATTTTCTCTGATGTTCGTCAAATTTACGAAAAGGCTGTACAAAGTTCTTAACACGATCACTTGTTTAATCGCAGCACTGAGTTCGTTGAAGTCGCCGTATGGTCTGATCAAAGTTCTTAGGATGGGTCCTATATACTTGAAGATTCGTCTTGTTTTAAAGTTCATTTGAATACATAAATACAAATAAATGACAGATGAATACAATTAAATGGGGGCAAGGCTGACAACGAAAGCAATCATGATTAACGTTAAATAGAAATCACCCCGCAAAAGAGACGATGTATAGAGACTGTCGAATTTAGAGGCTAATGATGGATGGATTCCTCATGGTAGTGACTGTCCTTTGAAATAAAACAAAAGCAGATAAAAAGGGAGCAGATGGAAAATCGTATTAAAGACTATTTAAGTATGCTGGATCGAGGACGTCGTATTTTTTTTTCTAAGGTTTTATTCATAATCTTAGGATATAGTTTTTTTTTTCTTCATGAGACAGAGCTTTTTGCCAAGGGCTGGGTAGTTATGAGAGAATTACAAGTTATGCACTTTTTTTTTATTTTATTAATTTGGTTCTTCTCTTTCGAAGTTTCTAGTTTGTACAAAAGTCACGAAAATAATAATGATAAAAAATAGCACTCAGCGGCCTATGGTTTTATTAAAGGAGATCAACACTCTTTATAATAATTTGTAGAGCAGATGCGTGGTTCCCCTTTACTATTGTCGAGCAGATTTTAAAACACGGAGGCGGGTAATAATTCAAAACACTCGATCATTACATTGTGAATCTGCGAAGGTTCCAGTGCCAGTTTCAGCATTTCCCTCCAATTAGCAATCTTGTTGCTCTGTAGAGGCCTTGTTGAATTGTCATTCAATCAATTTCTCCGAGTCTGCTTACGTGCTTCCATTAAACTATGTGGAAATTACAATCACGTGCAAATATTCAGTCTTTGCTCGTGTGTACAGGATATAAGCCAAAATTATGTCACGTTTATCCAAATAATGAGAAAATCGAGAAAAAGAATCACGAGCTAGTACGTGCTAAAATCACGTTTCACTGAAAAATAGATGGAGCATCAGTGTGGTTCAAGTGGAAGTACATTTATGAGGGATTCTTACCGGATAGTTGGTGTGTTAAAGTTTTGGATACTATTTCACAAAACATAATCTCTTTCAACTCTTTTCAGTCAAGACGTCAGCAAAATCTCTCCAGCTCAAGGGGATATTCTCTTTTTTCCCATGCTATATGAAAAGAGATAATTTCGCTTTGACAGGAAAGTCTTTCAGATATCTTTCCTTCCGATCGATATGCAACAATTTGCTCTTGTAGCTCGAATATGTTCGCAAGATCTGCATTGTCTCGGATAAGATGCTAATTTTTCACAATAACTTTTAAGATTATAAAGCGGTTTGCCCGAATGAGAAGTTCACTTCAGACAGAAACTTGTCAAAGTACACCTGAGGTATATTCGATTGAACAGCTAGAATTGAGATTTCACTTGCACTGAGTTTATTCTCAAAAGGCGTAATGCGTTTTCTTTAACAAAGCCGTTCTTAACACTGAGGGGTCGGCATAATGATAAATGTGCGAACTGAAAAGTTTCACTCCGTCAATGCGTCTTAAAATTAATTGTTTTGCTCTTGGTGAAACGGGATGACAATTGGAGTGTCAATAACGATCGCGAATGCTTGTGAGGAAGTTCTAACCGCAAAATAAACACTACTTTAGATCTCGCTTTTACCTAGAATCCAAAAGGGGAAATTCGAAGATGAACTTTTTCTCAACGATAGGTTTAATCGGGAAAGATATAAGAAATTGCTCTCCGATGGCGAAAACGACTGTTATTTCAATGCCCAATGTGATACTACCTGAAAAAAAATCTACGTGAAATACAATATACATGCATCATCTAGAAAAGTTTTTTGACAAAGAGACGTTTTAAGTGTGGTGAAGAGTCCCTCAAGGCATGAAAGGACTGAATTATACTCGAAAGGCACCTGTGTTGCTATTATTAACTACTGCCCATTGTTGAACACAGTGTAATGAAGAAAGTTGTACCCACGTTGTGTCTGATAGAAATTACAGTCTCGTTCACTTTTCCTGTGACAGCGAGATGAATTCTAGTATCGGCGGTAGAGGGCCTTAAACTCAGGCAAACTGATGAAGAAATTTTTGTGGAATAAACGTTTAAACGATGGAAACTAAATCTGGCACCTGAACGAGAGAAATGAATCCCCATAGAGAAAATAGAAGTAAAATGAATATTTTTCATCTCCTTGCCATTGATGGGTCGTGGATGCTGCATTTTATTAATAATTCGCATTTTTTGTCTTTTTGCTACATCTTTGTTCAGCCCACAGAACTTCCATCAACATTCTGCCTTTTTTTTTAATAATTTCCTTTCTTCCTATCGCTTTTATGCAAATATGTTTTATTCATTCTTGATTTCAATTATTCGGATCTATCGTGCAAACCATTCAAATGTCGTCGTCAATCTTTTCACGACATTGTCAATTTGCCCATTTTTTCCAGATCTCGTATAACGTTTGCAAATGACTTTATTTGCTTTTCTTTATTTTATGTTTTCTTGTTCAGTCAATTTATTTATCTATGATCGTAATAATTTTCAATTTATATTATCTGTTTATGGCAACCGCTTCAATTCGACTGACCGAATTCCTTTCAATTCGCTTTATTTCGCTTCGCTTCGAGTCGTTTTCTTGGAAGATAATTAACGAGCGCGTTGGACATGTAACGAGTGCTTTGGCTGCTTATTAAATTTTTATGAGAGGCTCCCTAAATCCGCCCTTTAGTAGCATCCGCACTTCAGTAGTATTAAATTGTGATTATCCTGACAAAGAGAATCAAAGAAATATATACATAGCTTAGCCAAGTTTGAAGGATAGGAAACTCGACAATGTACGTTGTCAGAATTGATGATCTTAGGAACCACTAGATGCACAAAACTTTATAATTGCAGCCTCCCCTGACCCTCAATCATAAGAAGAATCGGTCCCTATGGAGATCGAGGACACGAAACTAACCGACCTCTAATCATGATAAATCAGCCTCATGTTGTTTCTAATGAAGATTATACCACTGCTTAGGAACGGCTGCGTGAAAGAATTAAACGATCGCTGATCGTAGCTAATGCAGTGGAATTTACGGTCAACTCTCAAAGACAAATTTACTCCTTTTGAGCGAATCTTAAATATTCTAGTTCTGATTATTTTTAGTTAGATCTGAAATTGGTAACTAGAAATCCTGCTGACGTTTCCATGCACCGGCAAATCGCTTGGCCGAAGTTCCCTATGGTTGAGTTAAACTTGCTTGTATTACATATATATAAATAACGAGGTCATTTATTGATAGCAATTTATGAACCTGAAAACTATGAGTTTCTTGTCATATTCTGCTACATTGGGATGTATAACAGAACTACCATTGGTCTTCACATGTTGAAATGAAAATCCTGCTTTTCTGTCGAAAAAGTATCTTAAGGCGTAAACATGTCATCTTTTCCTTCTCTGCGGGTAGTTTGGGAATTCTACTCGAGAATATTTAAAGGTTCATGATCGTTTGTTTTAATAGCACCTCTTAGTTTCGTTGAAGTTACCGTTTGGTCTGACTAAAGTCTAGTGAGGGTGGGTTCTATTTATAATTCCAATTAACAAGACATTAATACAAATATGTGTGGGCAAACTAGATACATTTATTAGTACTAACATTAAAAATAAACAATTCCTCTTGTCCCACGACATAACAATATCGACTTCCCATTGAATTAAAACAAAAGACGATATAAGGAAGCGGTCATTTTAATAATTGCGGGTTTTCCTTTTTTTCCTCATGTCGGTCTTTTATTTTGCTGAGAGGAAAATATTTGTAGCTTAAAACATGTAATCAGAAGTTATGCTCATTGGTTTGTTTAATTTTGTTCCTCAAAGTTGAAGTTTGATTATTGGTCGTAAAAATACCCACAAAAGACACTTAAGAATAATTAAAAATATATATTTTGCTTAGAGTATTACAGTTGCATTAGAAGAGATTTCTGTAACAATAGGCCTCTATCTATACCACTGATCAAAAAATCCGCATCATTAAACTTTCATGCCGCTTGTCGCCGTGTTCCTGACGTCCCCCTTGTGCTGTGCTGTTGGAAACATGAAATAGACGCAGTCTGCCACTTTGAGAATACGATGTAATAAAGCCTCTTAAATTAAGTGTTAAGTAGCGATCTCTGTAAGAGCGGTTCAGGGCATTTCGCATCGGAACAAAGTTTTCCTCCAAACTTTACCCAATAAACTATCTTTGGTAGCAAGTAAATAAAACCACATTAGTTTCTGGATACGTTAAAATAAAATTTTTAGAGTTCTCAATAGTTAGAGCTGCAAAAGGCCCTTTTTTGACCTCTTGCGACATCGAAAATTTCAAAAGTTGAAAAGCCCGATCATCGTATCACACCTCATGCCGCAAAAATTATTTTGTATTCTTAAACTGTGTAATACGTAAGGTGTATAAAAAGCATATCAATTTTGATATTCGTTTAATCAGAGGTTGGTGACAATCTATTTAAAAACACTCGTTAGGAAGCTTTCTGAAATTGGTCAAAAGTACACTTTCTTTCTTGGTTGACATTGCTCAAGTCCAGAGCAGACCATTGAAACATCCGCTGGATCTCTTCTGATAAGATGTTTGACGGCAGAAAAAAAAAAAAAGCATCTTGTGCTTATTAATTTTCTTCGCCGTGATGATTTCAAATCTTTAGTGGTTTTCACTGAATTATGCAAACTAGTACGTGGAGCAAACTCCTACAGTTTTATATAAGTAGCCTAGTAAATCTTAGATTTTAACCATTTTCAGTGAAAAATATAGTAGGAAAGAGCTTTTAGACCTCACCGATTAACACTCTTAATATTTTAAAAGGCCAAATTTTGACAAATCTTGCTATCTCGTGATGAAAAACGTCAATAACAACGTATCGAATCACATGATTTGATTGGTGCTCGGTCAAGGTCTTGATAGAAACTCTTTTTTAAAAATTCGATCTCTGTTATTTCATATTTGAGTTTTGACAGCTTAAAATATTCAAACCTGTATGAACATTTGAGA